TGTTAGTCTAATAATTCCTTTTTGAGTTAAATGTGTTTCTCATATACAGAATATTCTTGGATCTTGTTTCTTGATCCATTTTGCCAGTCTGTTTCTTTTGATTGATGCACTGATGCCGTTTATGTTGATGGTAATAACCGATGTGTATTGGCTCATCTTTGTCCTGTTACAGTCCTGCTGTCGGCTCCTTGCTTTTCCCTTCTGTTTAATTGCATAATGAGGCTGGTGGGTTCTTTCTGTTGTTGTTCTCAGAATTCTGTTCGTTTTTATCTCTATCTAGAACATCTCCCAGTGCTCTTTGTAGAGTTGGTTTAGAAGTCATAAACTTCTTCATTTGTTTTTTATCATGGAAGTATCTTATTTCTCCATTAATTTTGAAAGACAGATTTGCAGCATACATCAGTCCTAGGTTGGAAGTTGTTTTCTTTCAAGATTCTTGAAATACTTCACTCTAAGCTCTTCTTGACTTGAGGGTTTCTGTTAAGAAATCTGCCATGGTTCTGATGGGTTTTCTTATATACTATCTGTTTCTTTTCTCTTACAGCTCTTAATATTCTGCTTTTGTACTGAATTTCTGAAATCTTGATTATTATATGTCTTGATGCTGTTTTATTTTGGTCATGGCTGTTTGGGATTTTATAAGCATCATTTATTCATATATAAAATTCTTCATCCATGTTTCAGAAGTTTTCTGCCATTATTTCAGTGAAGGTTTTTATAGTTTTTATGCTATCTCCAATTATTTTATTCACCCCAATCAAATTCATCTTATTCTTCTTTGCTTCACCTTGTAGCTGTCAGCTTGGGTTTTCATGGCCTCTTGCTATTTTTAAGATATGTTTTTATCTCAAGCTGCAGCTGTGTCTTCGCCATCTGATATTTTATCCTCTTCATTCAGCCTGTGGTGTACACTTTCCATGAATGTTTACTCTCTTAGGTTTCTGTTTGCTTCTGTTTCATGGACTTTTTTCTTTCCTATCTTGGGCATTTTTTGTTTTGTTTTCATCATTTCTCCAGGCTCATCTATTTTAATACATATGCTAATATCTTAGGCACCATTTCTCTTTGTACCTGAGAGATAATTTTCTCTGTAGTCATTTCCACATATTCTATCATTTCTCTGTATTACTTCAGAAAGTTCCAGTGTTTGAATTCTAGTTGCATCTATCTCCTTTTTGTTGTTGTTGGTGGTGGTAACAGGGATCAAACTTATGACTTGGTGCTTGCCAGTCAGGCGTTTTTGCCACAGAGCTAAATCCTCAGTCCCTGCAATTTCCTTTATCTCCTTGTCCTCCAGGCTTTTCCTGGGTGGGCGCAGGGTCTGGGGTTGCATTTTGCTTCTGTGTCTTGTCATTTTCTTTTCTCTCTTTTATTTTATTTTGTTTTCTACATTGATTCTCGCCAATTTCTTATGGTACATGGCTTTATCACTAGTATTGAGGCTTCCGTAGGAGATGTCTGTTCTTAAGTTATATCCTCTAGACATAAGTAGTTCTTTATAGCTATCACAAGAACCACCTTCTGAGTTTGTAAAAAATGTGAAGTTACTATTTGGCTCAGTATGCAATTCTTTGTTAGTGGGCTGGGGTGATGATTATGACCCCATATAATGACAGTGTTATCATACAAGGGAGAAAAGCTGATTATAACATGTATGATGTTCTGGGCTAAAGTCCTATGATTAGTAATAACAATAGTGTCAAGTACAGCTTAACTACTGACCAATAATGGTACCTGTTAACCTGCTACCTCTAACCCTAAAATTATATAACAAACCCTAAAGTTATATAACCAAATTAAACATGTACCACGTACTTGTATAGAGTGCTTTTTTTCCACAGCAGGATGATTTACCCAGCTGCAGGGGCAGGGTGGGGTTCTATGGATACGTGATTAGGATAACCATGATGGGTGAGGTGACATACTGCAGAAGTAAGGCTGGAGGTCAAAGGTGATCCCCAAGTTTTGGGAAACTGGAAGCCACAGGAGGGATCGAATGAAATGGAAGGGGAAGGAAGAGCAGGGCAGGGAAGAGACAGTGTTTTCTCACTTGAAAGTTTAAATTCAAGAGAAAAGAGGGAAAGAAAATCATCAGAAGGAAACAAAAAAGAAAGCTAAGAAACCTGAACCATGAAAAAGAAGAAGAAAGAGAATACTGAAAAAGAAAAGAAGAAAATAAAGGAGACCAGAAAGAGAAAAAAGCCTCACAAAAACCAAAACAACCACAAAATACTGAACAAAATAACATGAGACCCAGCCAGATAGGAAAAGGTGGTCATTTTGACAGACGAGGGAGATAAACACAGCGAAGCCCCTCCAGTGTTTACAGGGCCGAGACAGCGTCCAGGTCAGTCCCAGAAACATGCTCAGCTCTCCTGCCCTGTCTGCCGTGGGATTGTGCTGGGTACGGAGCTGGTCTCGGCCTCTGATCTTCCGGTGCTGGGGTTCCCCAAAGCCCACTGCTGGCTCCTCAGTGCTGCTTCAGACCCTTCCATGTTGCTGGTCTCCCTGACCATTCTGCCCACCAAAGGTGCATGTGTGCCCCTGTGCCCAGGCTGTGCCCAGCCTGGGTGTCTCCCATCTGGTCCTTCTTTCCATCTCCAAAACCAGCCACTTGACTGGCAGGAGGACCCTTCCATCGTCACATTTGCTTCTGAGCATCATAAACGTGAGAGGTATTTGATATTTAGGGATCTGTAAAGTTAGATTGGACCCACTTAGGTACTCCAGGGTAATCGCCCTTCCCAGGCTTTGCCTTAATCACACCCACAAAGCCACTTTCACTAACATGTTCTGGGGGTTGGCATGGAACTCTTTGATCATTGTTTTAGAAGAAGTAAAATTGACTCCTAAAGCACAATACACAACAGGAAATCATGGACGCAATGTGAAATAGCTTGCTCTTTGAAAGACATCGAAGAAACGATAGGCAAGTTATATTCTGGGAGAAAATATGAGCAAATGACATATTTAAAGTGACACACAGGGCATAAAGAATTTTCAAAGATTAAACATAAGAAAGAAAATATGCAAATCAATATATGAGCAAAACATTTGAATAAGTACTTTATGAAGAAATATAGATAGCACATGGCTTCTATAAAAATGCTAAATGTAACTATTATGGAAATGCAAATTTTATTGTTAACAATATGTCATCTTACACATAGGATGCCTGTGTAAACAAAAACAGCAGCGATGATAATCATAATATGAAAGTTAACGTGGAAGTAGGCAATGCCAACTATTAGGGACAGTGCAAAGGATCTAGATCTTTTGTTCGTTGTTAGTGGGAATGGAAAATGGTACCATCAATGTAGAAGACAATTTCTGACAAAGTTAAGCATGTACTTACCGTATGATCCACAACTCCTGATACTAGATATTAATTTATTTAGAAAAATATGTTTCTTCAAACATAAACTACTAGAAAAAAATCTAAAAACTTATAGCAACATTTTTCATAATCACCCAAAAGTGAAGAAGCTCTAACATTCCTTAGTGAGAATTGGATAAACCGTGATACATTCACATGATGAAACACTATTCGCAACAATCTACTGAAGAATTAAAAATCATACATGAGTTTCAAGTGAAAGGCTAGTGAACATATAACTCGAATGTGACACAGATGTGACACTGTATAAAGAAATTCCAGAAAAGGTGCACTTCCTGGGGAGAGAGGAATTTGTAGTTGCCAGGAGTTGGGGAAAGGGAAGACATAAGGAGGATCTGGGGTGTGTGTTCTACTCCACATTCTGATTGGAGTGGTATCCACATGCATTGGCCAGAATACACCGAACTGTATGCCAAAAACGATGCAACTATTATCATGCAAAGTTTAAACACACTTTTTAAAACTAAAAAGAATAGATTAAATGTTGGAATCCGCAAACCCATTGACAATAACTCATCACATAATAGAAAAACGTTAACAAGAAAATGAATTACTCCTGTGCATTACTGGAGTACAAATTGATTCACCATGAGAAAAAGTTCTTTAATGTTATCTACTCAAGATAAATTTATACACCCCAAACAAACTTGCGTGTGTATCTGTGGGAAAGGCATCTATGGTGCTCGGAAAGAGACTGTAGAATCTTTACAGCAAGATTATTACTAACAGCTCCAAAGTGGGGTCAGGCTAAATGTGCATCAAACTGTACTGCCTAAAATAATTGTGAAATTCTATGGGATACAAAGGTAACAATGATAAAAATAAAGTAACTGCTTGATATTTGCAGCAACAAGCAAGTTTTCTCAATATTTAGTAAGCAAAATACATGTCTTCCACTGGCTCCCAATCTCCATTCAGGTAACTCTTCAATGAGGAGTGGGCATTTTACAAGTGTATTTTAGTAAGTGTTATTAGCTTAACTTTTGTCCCTTTAAGATATTATTTCATTGCTTCTTTATATCATAGCACTTGTTTATTTCATTGTACAAGAACAATACAATTCAAGTTTGATATTTTTATATACATCTGTATATACAAAATACCCACTAATGGGCTTAGTTATATGTTAGTTAAGTAATCACTTTAAATATTTTAAATTATTCATATATGTTTCACAAAAATTCAGTGGACATGTAAATCTCTTTAGCAGTATTTGGACAATTTTTCTGAAGAAAAAAAGTGCAATATTATGTTTTTTCTTAAAAACAGTGAAATCTAGCGCTCGGTCTTCAAATAAGTTATCAATTGATACATTTTAGTAGTGACTTAAATTTGCGTAGTGATGAGGGCTCATGCGTGAAAAGTCTCTATATCAGCAAGGCTATCAAAGCCACAGGGAAGTTGGAGATTACACACTGTTGGCCGTGCAGTACACAGGAGACGCCCTGGCAGTTGGTACTATAAACAGAAAAATGGGCCCCTCAAAATACTTGACCTAAATCTTAAGGAACTGAATTTGTCATTTCGCATTGTGAGAGATTTTGCAGACATGATTAAACTGTTTGATTATTATTTTTTTTTTATCTTTTTCTTTTGGATGCAGGAGGGTCGGAGTCTAAGATGTTAGGAGAAGAAGGCAGAGGGGTCAGTGTGGGTACTCTGCCCATTACTGCTGGCCTGGAAGATGAGAAGGAGAAGTGTCACTCAGGAAATGCAAGCGGACTCTGCAGCCTGAGAGAGACCTGGTCAGAAGAAATACAGCTCTCCCAGCCCCTTGGTTTCTATGGAATGTAACTCACTCAGAGTTGTGAACTCCACACTGTACGAGGGCAGATTCCCATTGTTTTAACCACTAGGTTTGTAGTGATGGGAAATTAATGAGTGGTAAATGTAAGCAGAGGGCTGGGGAGCAGCCCAGTGGTAGAGCGCCTGCCTTACATGCCTAAGGCAGGCTGCGGATCCCCAGTACTGCTTTAAGAATAAGGTGCAATGGCTGATAAACCGTGTCAGCTTGAGAACTGAGAAATTTAGAAGCTTAAGTAGGTGGTTCAGCAGGGGGCCAGTGCACTGCCTTTGTAAACATCCTGAGCCCATGCAAGAGGAGGGCAGGGGATGAGGTGGGTCGTAGTCTGCACACGATGTAGGGGAAGAGGACAGGCGTGCTTCCCCATCCCTTTTGCTCTGGCTGCTTTTGATGTCCTCTGCTGCCTTGAAGCATTGCCCCTGTGCCACACCACCCTGCCTTGGAGTCAGCTGACTATGAACTGAAACCTCCACAAACTGTGAGCTAAATAAACCTTTCCTTCCTTAATTTTTGGTGTCAAGGGTTTTGTCTCAGCAACAACAGAAGAGTAATGAACACAAAAAGTAAAGATGATTACTCTTACTAATAATTATAGAGATGTAGTACAGAAACTAAACTACTGTTGATTAGCACAGTGCCAAATGATTTTTAAAAATTAACTTTTAGCATTGTTCATGAGCATATAATCTTGACCCGTTCAAATGCTTTTGTTGCATATATAAATTGTTTGCATAATTTTAGAAGGCAATTTAGTAGAATGCATCAAACTCTAAAATTCAGATACTGAGCCGCCAGACTTTCACCAAGTAATTGTATTTTTAGAGAGCTATTTTGAGATTGCCACATAATGACCTTGTTGCACGAGATGGTCAACATTACATTTTCATAAGGGAGAATAAACTGGAACACGGGAAGTAAACTTTTCTAAGTAAAAATAATTATATTAAATGAAAGTTTTGCAGCCACTCACTGGAATAAGATATTAGTATATTCTTTTATCAAAATCACCCAGAAGCATATTTACCAAAAAGAAAAATTATTCTCATAATACATACACAGCCTAATAAATTTAAATATGTAATTATGTAAATGCATGCATACAAACACATAGTAAAAGACTTTAAAGCATGGCAGCTTACCTTCATATTAGTTTTCTCTAGGGATAAATTGAACTGAAATAGATAACTGTGTTTTTATTCAAATACATACTGATTTAACTATTCTAATGCAAATTTATAGACATATATGTTTTTTAATAAAAAGTCCTTTGAAAGAAAATTAAATATTAATTTATGGCAAACTTAGAAATTTTAAAGACTAAATTTTAAAAATTAGGTTGTGTGACAAGAATACCAAAGGAAAAAAAAAAAAAGAAAAGACTACCAAGTGACATCAAACTAACTAGACTGTAACTCTAAATTGAGCGGGTAACATCCAGGTGACGCATTCCGCCTAACTTCACAGAGGAAGGTTGCTACATAAAGTGTAGCCATATCTCACGTACATCACACTTCCCTTGGCATTTGTGATAACAGTATAAAAACACAGCCATACGAAACCTAATGATATTCTTCATGGTGCCAAAAAAGGTACCATGGCACTTGGCTCCGCCGAGTATGCCATGTAACATGTTTATTACCCAAAGCATGCTGATACACACTTAAAAACATTTTATAAGGTAGAGATAAAGGCCCAGTGCGTCAAGGACTGTCAGGAGTTTATGAAAGTGCCCCCGCCCAAGAGAGACAGGAAAGCCATCTCCAGTGACATACGTGGAAAGTTCAGTATGCAGGTGAAGAGTTTTACAGGAATTTCAACCATAATTCTTTGTTTCAATGAAATACGATATTGAACTAGAAATCAGAGTGCTGATATTATTATAAACTGCTAAGTTTGTTAGAACTATTCTACACAGAGAGGGCCAGGCTGTCAAGAGAGCCAGTGCAGAACACAAGAGCACATTGCATGGTGAGAGGAGCTGCATTCTTTGAGGGCCAGACCTCAAAAGTTGGAAAGACCTCACCTGTCTCCTTCCTCTAGAGATAAACCATGATTAATATCCCCAGTAGGCACTGGCCACCTGAGTGGGGGCCAGGAAGAGGCCCTGACCTGTTCCCCAGGGTCAGGCCTTATGCAGTCCATGTACACTTACTACGTAATTTGCTTCTCTGTTGGGTCAATGTTACCCAAGCACCTACCCTTGTTATCTCATTAGTTGACCATGAGTTTGCCCCACCCCATACCTGCCTCATGATTTTGCCGTATAAAACTTCTATGAGAAGTGGGGTCCCTAGCAACCCACTTTCTGGGACCCCTCCTGTCTTAGACAGAAGCTATCTTTCCCTCAATAAATATTTTTTCTCCTAATTTCTGTTGTTCCTTAGAATTCATTCTTCTGTTTGGGGGAACACAAACTCAGCATATCCGCTGAGAATTGTGGTGTTTCCCTTGTACTATCTGGATTATGTGGAGGCCGTATAGCATCCCTGTGCTGCTAGCACAGAGCCCAGTGATGTTAGCACTAGAAGTGACCTTAGAAACATCTGACTGAGCGGCAGTGTTAATCAGGGGACTCTGGAACCAGCTTGGGGAGTGAGGTTAGTGTGGAGGCCGGCTCGTACAGAAGGAAGCCCTCCCAAGGACATCGGGAGAGAGGGGGTGGGCTAAATCACTTTATTAAAGCCACCGTCAATACAGTTCATTTCCGTACAGGGCGGAAATGTCCCTGCCTGGTCAACGGACTTACACCTTGGTCCTAGGAAACAAATCTACAACTGCTGTGGAAAAGCAATAATTATCACTTCATCTCAAAATGCAGTGGCACACGAGGCTACATGGCTGAGATGTCTAACAAGCCCAGAGCGGCAGTGGCTGCGGAGAGGACTCTGTCATGTCCAGCAGCGGCAGGAGAGCATGACCTCCTGGAGGGTGGAGGACGCCCAGGCTGCACAGTGAGTAGAGGGCAGCTGTGTGTCTCAGTGCCACACGGCACCTTCTGGGCATCACAGGAGGCAAGTGCTACCTGCGCAGCTCAGCCAGGAGAGCTGCATCCACAGATAGCTTTGGCTGCCCAGAGTCCAGCTAGAAAGAAATAAAGGGTAATTTTATTCTGAGTGATGAAGTGGCCAGTAGAATAAGAGGGAAGAGGTGACGTAGCAACACAGCCTAAGAATAAGGTTATCAACAACTCAAGTTTAACTTTAATTTCAGTAATGTATAAGTCTTTCTGGCCCCTACACATTCACCAAATGTCTTAAAAGCATAATAGAGTGCTTCACACTGTGTGATGTAAGTTATAGCGTGTTGTGCCAAAAGCTGTGAACTCAGGACCTTGAACTTGCCAGGCAGGTGCTTGCGTCACTGAGCTGTATCTCTGGCCCTTGAAAGCTGTGATGTGGTGAAAGCTGTAATGTCCTTCCCTGCTTTCTTTCTAGGAATGGAAGATTTCCTGCATCAGCTACGCGAGTGCAGTACCCGCACCTCTCAGTCGCTTCGGGGCTTTGCTCCTGCTGATAAAGCCTCCTTGCCCACACCACGGGCAGCTTGTGCTCAGCACTGCTGGTGGCAGGGCTGTGCGGTTTCAGACCTTGGTCCTTAACTCAGGGATCCGAGCTCTGCACCAGCCATGCTGAAGGCTTTTCACGAATACCCCGACCTCTACCTCTGTGGAGGTCTCCATCTCCTCCCTCGCCTCCACAGCTACTGAACTTGGGCAAATCCCCAACCCTGCGTGCATTCTGCTAATGGTATCTCAGGATCTGCTTGCTGGGAAGCCACGACTGCACAGCTGCAGTGAGTGCTGTGCACAAGTGTGTGTGCGGGAAAGCAGCTGCGTGAACATCACGTCTGTGTCCATGCGGTGAGCTGGAGGGGAGCGAGCACGGAGAGCAGAGCAGCAACGGCAAACCTGAGGTGAACCTGAGAACCTAAGGAGTGACATTGGTGACAAGGGTGCCCACGACACTCCAAGAATTAGACAAATGTTCCAACAAAACGACCTCAAACGTTTTCCAGACCTTTAGGAGCTGACCAAGGCCTTGCAGCGTTCCAAAGAACAATTACTCCAGAGACGCAGGTGAGTCTCAGTGAGAACTGTGAGCACTCTGTCTTGGCCTTGTTACAACCTCCACTCGTCAGCTCTGCAGTGATCTTGAGAGCTGAGAAGGCTTTAGCTCTCATTCTTGTTAAATCTGAGGCTCTGCACAGGCAGAAAGCGAAGGTCCAGTGGAATCTCAGACAGACAGGCTGAACAGTAAGGGCACACCCCAGTCTGCTTGTGGGACACCCCCTAAACAAAGACAACATTCAGCAGCTCCAGAGGAGCAAGGGACTCTCCCCCTGGTCACTAGCTGGCCACCAAAGAAACTAAATGCAGACTTCCGTGCTCATATGTGATACACTTTGGACTATACAGAATTAGTAAAAAGTGTTTAGTTAAAACAGCCCAAATAAGCTGTAAAATCAACAAACTTTGGGGAAAGGGAATATCTATTGCTAGAGCTAAAATTACATTGTTAAAACTTTGCAATTTTTTTTTGTGTGTTTTTGAGATAGAGTCCTCCCTATGCAGTTCAAGTTAGCCTGGAGCTCACAACAATCCTCCTGCCTCAGCCTCCCAAGTGCTGGGATTACAGGTATGTACCACCACAGCCTGCTGTTTGCATTGCGAGTGGGACACACAGAGAATTAATAAAACTGTGGTCCACAAAGGTCACAAAAAGCAATCAATAAAACTGACACTTAAGAAAGCCCGTACATTGCACTCGGCACACAAAGATTTAATCAGCTATTGTAGTATGTTTAACAAGCTAATGAAAGAATACATAAAGAATTAAAGGGCAGATGAGGACTATATTTCCCCAAAGAGAATAGCAATAAAGTAATAGAATATAAATTAAATTGCAGTCCTGATATCTGGCTCCTCAGAGTGTGACATTACTGGGAAACAGGATCGATGCAGATGCAATAATTAGTTGACGTGATATTCCAACAATGTGGGCCTCTAACTCAGTATAAATAGTGACATTATAAACAGAGGGGAGTGTGATGACCAGAGCAGGGATTAGAGACATGTGGCTGAAGGACGGTGTGTTAGCTGGCCCTCTCACTATTGGAGGTAACACACCACCCACAACTGACAGGAGGAAACGATCATTGGCTCACAGTTCAGAGAGGGCCACCCACGGCCCGGAACAGGGATGTCCTGGCCGACAGTGTGCTGGAGCAAAGCTGCTAAGTGCATGGTGGCCAAGAAGCAAGCAGTGCTGAGGAGGAACAGGCTGGGGACCCTGTAAGGTACCCACAGCGCCTCCTCCACGACCCACCCAATCAGGGACTGTGCTTTGCTACTCGGCTAGCCAGGAGACAAACAACTCGGGGTTAGCAGAGGCGGACCAGGAGTGCCGGGTCACTGTCAAATCACCAGCAGCCAGGCAAAGTCAAAGATGTGCACCCCTGAAGTCTCTGGAATGAGCATGACTCTGCTGGAAGCTGATTCCATACTTCTA